GCTGTAAGGCATAAATTACCTGCCAAGAAGGAAGTAGGAAGAAAAACCCAGTTGATAGAGGAGCACAGTGGTGGCCAGGTGCCTCCTGAACAAGTCCTGTCAGTTGGTAAGTCTATTTACCTTTATTTTTTTTGTCTAGTCACTAACTAGGTACAATAAAGGGAAGTTTGGTGTAAACAGATGATAATTTATGGTGACTGTCCAACACATTTCTTACTTTGGCAAAGCTATAAACTATCTGTTTCTTGACTTGCATGATTTATTAAAAGGTCTGAAATTTTTTGAAAATATAGTTTACCAAATTTGTTATTTCAGAAAAACTGAAACCGTCACTCAACATACGTCGTGAGCAAACTGAACCCCTGTCCCGTCCCAGACCAGAGATGACACAGAGCTCCTTGTATCCTGCTAGTGCCCACACTAAGACGGCAGACCGCCAGATGTCTTTCTTGTCTTCAGAGCTAAGTGAAGGTAACCTTCACACAGCAGAGCAGATGGACAGGGAAGAAGAAGTTTCCTCTGGACAAAAGGTATGAAGCATGAAAAACATTTGTGTGGTTTTGTGGATTTGCAACATTCATTCAAAGAGAAAGTGCTCCATTTTGAATGTGTTGTTATTTAAAGCTCATATTGAATGATGCAATTTTATTTGAATATACCCCGAAGGCAATTAAAAAAAGTATCAATAATGATTAGTTTTTATATCATATTGGAAATATTGATTGTCCATTTATCCTTGATTTCCCATACTGATTCAGCTTATAATAATTATAACACTGTTTTTAGCAAAGGTTAATTAAAGTTATACGTAGTTCATTGTGTTTTGTTGGTCCCAATGATTTTTTTCTCTCTCTTTCTTCTAGTCCCAACACCAGGAACCAAAAATTACAGTTGACTCTAGGAAAAGGTTTAAGGAGGAGGACCCAAAGGAGTCTGAGAGGGAGGAGTTTGATGAAGCTGACACCAGGTCGGGAGATGAGGGGGGCGACAGGACACCAGTGACCCCTGTCCAAGTGTTCATGACAGAAACTCAAAGGACACAGCTGGCCTCCAGGGGGACACAGGGTAGTAGAGTGACCATACAGTCACCTAGCAGAGAGGGAGGAGGTGAGGATGAAGCCTTTAGTCCAGGGACGGATCCAGAGATATTTTCTGACAGTCTTCCAAATTATCTTTATTGATCCGTCCTCCATTTTTGACCGTCTTCCAACAGAAAAAAATTAGATACCCGTCAATGTAAACTTGAAAATCTGACCATCTTCCGGAAAGACCCAGAAGATGCCCTAAATCCACCCATGCAGTCTGTGTTTGTATAATGATGATTTATTAAAAGAATACAATCTAAATATTGAAGTTTTTAAACTTGTATTTTATTGAAAGACATATATATAATCATTGAATTCATTGTATACATATATTAGAATCAAGTACATAATTTTAGTAGAAATACTTGAACTTTAAAGTATACAGTAAATTTCACCAATGTTCAAAGGGAATATCACATAAATTAGGATTTAAAGCATCATACATGAGCCATGGAATTGATTTATTTCTTGTTTTGTTATTATGTTGTTATTGCATGTTTAATTTTCCCAGGAGCTGAATTATCAGATCAAAGTATGCTGAAACATGTACAGAGCAGTTTTTAAAAGAATTTTTATACAATTAAATTTTCTTAAGATGGAACATCATTATATTCACATGCACATTTTTCTTTAGTCTTTCCACTCAAACATAGTTGTAATTCTTTTCCAGACACAAATGGAGAGCAAAGTTTTGCACAGGATTCGGATGATCTTGCTGGCGCTTACTGGGAGTCTGAACACCATAAGTTTGACTTTGGGGACTACTCTTCTGTCCTGTGTGAGATGGACCCTCTCTCCTACCACCAGCTGGGGCTAGCTGTCCCAGGGACTTATATAAATGAAAGTAGGTTGATAGGTGATGCATGAGTTCTTATAAATTATCTTTGTTCAGTGTCTGAAATAACATCATAGAAACATTTGAAAAGATACATCCTAGAGGTCCATGTTGCATAGATAATATTTTTGAAACAAAGATACTTTATACCACTTAATATTTCAGTTGTTGAGTCTGATATAACTGTTCCCTGGAGGCCTAAAAATGCTGCGGAGCTACTGGATATACATGTAAGTCATTGCAAGACTGTGTGGTGTTGTGAACAATGTTATTCATTCTTATCTTATTCTTCCAAGAATTTAAAAATAAACAGTCTGTACGAGTAGGATTTAATGTTTTGATAATAAAATTGGTTTTTGCCAACAATTAGTCTCATTTACGTAGATGAAAGCAAGAACATATATGGGTGAAAGAGTAACGTAATCAAAGTCAGTTGTCTGACAAGCTGTGTCAGGTAGTTTTTATAAATGAATAGAGCATAGCCCTGAGGGAACTACAAAGAAAGGTCCCACTGCGAGAAAATGGGATACCAGGCGAAGATTGTTTCTTAACAAGGAGATGGTCGTGTTGATTGCACAATGTGTACTAAAAAAATTCAGGAAATAAAAAAAAACCCTTGTGTGTTAATATTTGTACTTTTTAATTTGAAGCCCTTGCTACCAAAGGTTTTGCGTCATGACCCTGTATTGCATAGCATCAATACAAAATATGTGAGTAAGGAGCCATAAAGAAGTGTTGCTATTTTGCAGGTTTTGCCTTTAAAACATATTAATTTTGATTTGGTTTCCCTTTTTCTGAATGAGGTTCAATTACATTATTATTATTATTGTTTATTTATTTATTATTATTATTATTTTGAAAATTAATTCTTTCCTATGGATCCTTTAAGTGTGCCTTTATTTCATATATTTTCAGACACCATTGCCCTGGTTAATGCATGAATGTGCTGTTACCCATCCTTACTATTGATCTTTGTAAACATAGAAAGTTGCTTAACATTTTACTATTTTTTTTGTCTACAAACAGTGTGTGCTGTGGTCTATGAGACTATATTGTGATCGTATAATAATTATTTTCTTATTTTCTTTGCAGAATAATAATTTGTTGAGTGCTATGGTTATGCAGTGCAACAAAGCATTTTGAAGATGTGTGTGTTTGTGTGTGTTAAGGCCCTTTTACACTGGACAGTGTTCTTTCTGCGTCCAGCAGGACAGCCCCATTTGAGAGTTAAAAAATTACAATACTTTACGTGCCGACAACTGGCCGATCATTGAACATTCATTCTGATACAAAATCAATGCTCGTGCCTCCTTATTAAGACCACAGCAATGCCAAATTTCATGGTTGCAGAAAGGACGCCGTCCAGTGTAAAGGGCCCCTTACTGCGTGTGTGCATGTCAGGGGACATGGTAGTGTTTTCAGAGTCAATGCCCAAATACCACAAAATTTATGTTATGCTATATTCTCTTACAGGAAATTGCATTGAACAAGTTGTCATTGAGGATGCACAAGATGTATGAGAAAGTCCATGATGCTGCCATGTTATCTGTGGATCCCAACTTCAAGAAAGACATCCCAGTTGAAAGCACATTCCTTAAAAATTTAGATCGTAAGTTTTTTTTTATTTGGAAAGGTATGAACACATCAAATATTTGGAATTTAGGTAAATGATAAAGAGAAAATGCTTGAATCCACATCTGGAAGTTGCACCTGTTTTTTGTTTGAGTGGCATGAATTATATATATATATATATATATATATATATATATATATATATATATATTTATTTATTTATTTATTTATTTATTTATTTATTTATTTATTTGCGTCCCACAAATTCTTTTGAGAGTTGAAATATTATAATTCCTAATGAACAGTTTTTGTGCCTTTGATTACTGCGGACCATTGGTCATATGTATTAATATAGATTTAAATAAAGTTATATATTATGTGATTTTATATTTTAGAATTCAGCAGTAGGGGTCAAACAGCTGAATCAGTAAAGGTAAAGTTTGTGATAAAATTACCCATTTAAAAATTTAGAATTTTAAAGAATTCTTTTGATTTTGTATAATTTACCCATTTCCAGTAATACTTGTGTTTACATGAAAGATAAAATACATAAACAGATGGGCTTTATTTGACTTTTTAAAAGCATTTTAAAAGCTGTGCACCCAAACTTGATCATCATGTTTCACTTGTGTATTTTCAGTTGCCAGGAACGCAAGCCTCTAAAAACAACAGTCATTCTGGAGGAGGCGACAATGAGACAACTGTCAGCTTGCCACCTGTCAAGAGAAATAATGAGCATATATCCAAGGAGAGAATGGGGACCACAACTTCTCACAGGATTGTATTTTACCCCAACCCTGTCACCCCACCCCCTGTCCTGCCCATTACCAGAACAGTGAGTATACAAATTGGATGTTATCATTAGTGCCTCAGATTATATTTTAATGTAGTTTGCTGTTGTAGATCCAAATTTTTGCTTAGGGGATAGAATCTAGATCCAGAAATTGACTAAGGAGATAGAATCCACATCCAGAATTATAACCTGTGACCTGTTTATCTATAAGTGTAAAAATCATTTCAGTTTTTTGGCCTGTTGTATCAGTTATTATGATATTATCAATCAGTGGTTATTGTAATGCTTGGTGAGACAATTTAAATACACATGAAAAAGATTTTGAGTTGTGGCCAGCTCGTACAGCTAGAGTAATGAATAAGAGATCTTTTCTGAACAGAGATACTGTATTGTGACACACCCTCAGAAATGTTTGTGTAGGAGTATCAGTTTTGAATGAGCTTGCAGTTCATTTTTGCCAATTTTGTACTCAATTCACTGTGATTGTTTCACCGTCAAATTCTCTAATGCCCTCTCTGTTTTGTCATTTTAGAGTAAAGACAAGGAGTACCCCCGCCTTCCCAATGCATTCAATGATATCCACACTCCCAGAGAGAAGGCAGAGAGAATTGTAAACCAGGGAAATCTCTTGGAGAAGACCAAGTTCAGTCTTTACAGGGCCAAACCCAAGTCCAAAACGGTGTCATCTCAGAATGACACAAAGGGTCTTATGCACCAGCTCACTCTAAAGGAGGTGCAAAGGAAAGGCGCCACAACACCTGCGTAAGTCATGGCTATTACTTACTGCACTAGCTAGAGCCATATCCTAAAAGTTCAAAGATTTTTAGGAGAAGCAATGGTTCTTAGTTTGGACCACCCTGTTTTGATACATGTTTAATGGTAAATGAGTAGATATTTGTTTTCTTTTTGAGAATAAGAAATAGAAATAAAAATTACAGAAATAGAAATATAAAATGATGAACACCAATATCCAGGGAGTTGCACACTACCAAGCAAAATGTCAGTGTTTGTTTCATAGTTTGAGCATAATAATGTATGTATTCAAGGAGATGTCCATTGTCAAACTTTCCTGAACATTTATTTTTTTTATTCATATATTTATTTATAAGTACAGGGAAAAATTGATGTGAAATAATGTTGATCTTTGATTCCTAATATTTTTTTTAATAATGCGGACTAGTAAGGGAAAGAGAGTTAAAAGAGGTGGTCTTATGGTTAAATTTGCAGAAAATGAATCAGAAACTAGCTAGTTATTTATTTAATCTTGCCAGACAAAATAAGTACATATCATACACTGGATCTTCTGTGTCCTGTGTATTTCAGTTCTAAATTTGAGAACTCATATGAATTAGCACAGGAGATAATTTATAAATCAATTTTGTTATTCAGTTCCAGCCGTTCAGTTTCATTTAAGGCCATGGCAAAGCTAGCAAGCAAAATGGGAGGTGGAGGTGAGTCAGTGGGGCAACTGAACTCAGAACTGATATAAAAAAAAGACATTTAAAAAACACGCACTGCTGTGGCTGATTCAGTTTGGTGTGAAAATCACTTTTTTTGTGTGTTTGGCTGTTCCTTGCACATACTTTTTTCTCCTTTGCATGGATAAGCATTTAAAAAAAATTACTGCCTTAAATATTGTTTGTTGCCTTTTTACTCAGTACTTCATAATCATTTTTTAACTTGTCCACCCATCTCCAGTCATTCCCCAGCCCCTCCCTTTTCTCCAAACCCCAAGACCAAATCCTTTGAGGCAATTTGGACTAAATCCTTTCATCAAATTGCATGCTTGATTAAGTACTTCATTTTTTTTAGATTTAACAACCTTCAGGCTTGAATTATTATTGAAAGTGTCTAACATAGATTAGATTTTGATTGTTGCATGCAGAAATATATTTTAGTGAATTAATGAGAATTTCTTAGCATGTAGTTTGTGAATGGGAATAATTGTGTTGCAAAATTTGTAAGCTTCAAGTGACATTTAATCCTCCTCCTCATCATTCAGTCTTCTCAATACATCAGAAACTCTTCCCTAATTGTGCCAGTACATTTATGTATTAATTTTTTAAAAAACTGAATAGAATGCTTTTCCATTCAACAGATTTTTCTTTTAATTTTTAGAATCACAGTATTACTGAGCTGTCTTTTAATCTTGCCATTCACAGTAAATTTTAGTTGGTTTTACTTTCATTTAAATTTTTAACTTGATATTTTCACTTTTACTGATTCATAAATTTACATATCACTATAGATATTATAGTATGTTTCACAGTTCATAGATGTTTTTGTCACACACTGATATATTTTGCACTGTTTGCTGTGCAACTATGCGTATGAATAGATGACATAGAGCTCCCCCAATCCCGCTGTACGTGTAACATGTCACGAAGGCGCAGTCGGCAAGGTGGACCAAGCCAGGATGTCTCCATGGCAGAACCTGGGGAGACATGTGGTCAGGAGGAGCAAGAGGAAGAAGGTATCGGTATACTAGATGGTAAACATTTTACCCTGTGGTAGTAGATAAGCAAAGTGCTGGTTGAGGTGTGTTTTGAATGCATGGCATGTTGTAGAAGATTTACCAGTTATTTTATAGTAAGATTTTTAACACTCATTTCTGACCAATAGTTTGCAACTGGGTTTACCAAAGCAAACCTTAGTACCTAAGAGAATTTTCCACTTGGACATTGATTTGTGCTAGCTGTCATAGAGATTAGCCTTAATAATGGGATGTTCTTGCATTTGCATTTTTTACGAGTGCATATATATAGGCACTAGTTTATTCAAAGCATGAAATACAGGTAAAGTAAAAATAGGAACAACCCCAATGGTTAGAATTTAAGATGTGAATAAATGTTTATTACATGGGTGGGGAGGGGTGGGTATGACAATTTATAATTGGTCGGATAACATTATAATTATCCTGATGCGTTTGTTTCAGTCAGTTTGTTAATTAACCCTGTTAAGTACTTTTAGAGAGCTGTTGCTCTCCACTTGTGTATTATCTATTACTCTATCATAAACACAGTCACCAGTGCAGACTGTTTATGGTAAAAATATTTCAACTATGGCAGTTAAAGTGTCATTCAACATTTCACTGTTCTTATTTTATTTGCATGTAAAGTTACTTTGGTTACATTGGTAATTTCCTATAAGCATGATAGATGAAAATAATTTAATATTGCAACTGATATTTTACCTCAGACACGNAAATAGGAACAACCCCAATGGTTAGAATTTAAGATGTGAATAAATGTTTATTACATGGGTGGGGAGGGGTGGGTATGACAATTTATAATTGGTCGGATAACATTATAATTATCCTGATGCGTTTGTTTCAGTCAGTTTGTTAATTAACCCTGTTAAGTACTTTTAGAGAGCTGTTGCTCTCCACTTGTGTATTATCTATTACTCTATCATAAACACAGTCACCAGTGCAGACTGTTTATGGTAAAAATATTTCAACTATGGCAGTTAAAGTGTCATTCAACATTTCACTGTTCTTATTTTATTTGCATGTAAAGTTACTTTGGTTACATTGGTAATTTCCTATAAGCATGATAGATGAAAATAATTTAATATTGCAACTGATATTTTACCTCAGACACGTAGCCCTAATTAGTTTTATTTGTAAGCATGATAGATGAAAATAATTTAATATTGCAACTGATATTTTACCTCAGACACATAGCCCTAATTAGTTTTATTTGTTTTCAGGGACTTGGAAAAAGATCAAGCCTAAGTCAGGTCCCTTGAAACACTCAGGGATCAAATGGGAAAGAGTGAAGGTAATTTAAAAGCTTTATGTGACTGTACATTCATATGGTGAGAGCAGAAACAGTTTTTTTTCTTTCAATGAAAAATGAAAATTAAAATCTGGTACAGGACACTCACAGTAGAATGGGATGGGCTTTAAAGCTTTGTCTATATTCCTTTCCTTTTACCTTTCTTCCAGGACATTGTCCACAACAACCTGACTGCCAGTCACCCAGATGAGAGAAAGGATGCCATACAGGTAAGTTTTGATATTATTTTAATTCCCAGGATACATGTTATTGGACACACAGGTTGACATGTAGTGGAAATGGGGCTAAGTTTATGTTTTAGTAACCGTAGAATGATATTTTAACAGTTTTTGTTAATCAATTTAATTTTGATTATTTGTTTTGGTCCTTAGCACTCAAAGGAACATGATTCTTGATTCATATGCTTTTTTATGTTTATTGGTTGAATAATTGGCTGAATAATTTCCTGTCAGTTATATTTTAGTGTGATTATTATTTGCCTGTTCATATTCATGTGCATGCATGTTGTGTCTGTGTTTGTAAGGAGAGAGGATGGGACACACATGCCCAGCAGCATTCAAACTTTTATTTTTGCACAGGGGCCTAACACTTGGCTTATTTCATCTGTTTGTGAAATATTTGAAATTTGCTGGAGGTTGCAGAAATATTTTGAAATTCATGCTTAACATTAATTACTTGTCACTAAGTATCCTTCATCCAAGATTAACAGATAGAAGACNGGTATTCATCCTCAATTACCCCTTGTGTGCACAGGTGACAGATTCTGTCGCACCTTTCAGTTTTTGGCCTGGTGTGCCGCCCAGTTTCGATGTGGATTTTATGGTCACTCAGACGTAGTTTAATTAACAGATAGAAGACTTTTAATTTGCTTTGTCACATAATTACTTATTTTTCATTTAAGTTCACATAAACAGTGTTAAGAAGCTTCCTGATTTAGATGTTAAAGCAATTAAGTGTGTCAGACTTGTGAAGATTCTTTTGTCTATAGCTACTTATATTAGTCTGATCTTACCATCAAATATTTCATCTGCTTGCAGTCAGACTTCATCAGGGAATGAGGTTGTGACAGGTATGACAACCTGTCACCCCCTCTGGTGTGCTATTTGGTCAGACCCCCCCCCCCCTTGCCATCCTCTCCCACCAGAGGGGGTGACAGGTTGTCATTACAACAACATAGCTAATGAAACTGTTCTACAATAAAATGTGTTGGTTTATATTAGCAATTAGGCCTGTTGAAGAGCGGTGATACCATGGTGATGTTTGCACTGAAAGAGAGGCTGGAAAAGGAAGACGAGCAGGACGATGTAAAGTACGAAGCCACCAAAGCACTGGTGCTGCTAGGTGAGGAAATTGCATGTGCCAGGATGTGGTAATGCAATCAACTTTACAAGAAACATTATATAATTCATAATTTAGAATATAATACAGGTTTTGAACTTAGTGCAGCATGTAAAGAGAGTCTGAGTTGATGAGGGGTTCCTGAAATCTCATTGTTACCTTTAATATGTTTTTCTATTCAATCTGGTGCAGCCTGTTGTAGATTTCCTTGAATGTTTTTTTTTTTAACATTACAAACAAACTTGTTATCTAGCAGTTTATTCATATTCTTGTCCTCAGTCCATTTAGTTGCAAACTTTTTTCATGAATATATGTTTCCTTTTCTTTGTGCTTTTTGAGGGAAATTCAAAATTGAGTTCAGTTTGCATAAATAAGTATACTGTCTTTAATGTTTTCTGATTTTTTTTTTTTTGTGATTCTTCAGGTTGTTGGGAAGAAGATGTGGTTAAAATGATTGTTAAGTTTTTGGTGTCGGGGAATCAGGAAACAAGAAAAGATCTGATACGTGCCATGATAAATGGACGAAATGTACAGTTTGTTAACAAGGTGATTTTGAAAAGATGCTCTTTTGATTAATTTTGAATTTCAGTTTATAAACATGGTAATAATAGCACATGGTAGTTTAGAAAAGTTATTTTCATGAAATTTGACAGACACATGGGATGGCATATTGTAGATTGAACCAAGGCTTTTAAAGTCTTGAACCTAGATCAGCTTTTGTTTGTATTGGTATTTGGGCACACTGATTTATATTACACAAATAAGCCTTAGGTTTTTTTTTTTTTTTTTTTTTTTTTGCTTAGTTATCATTTTAATTTGCAAAACTTTTAAGTAATCCATACAATTATAAAATCTTGTTAAAAAATTTACAGAAAATGGAAGTTTTTCCCATACTGGTAGAAGTGCTGAGTCATTTCTGTAAGAACCCAGACCCCTGTGACCCTGTAGCCTTTGATGCCTCCCTGTGCCTTGGTAAACTGTGCGTGAAGGAAGAGGCAGCTAGGACAAGACTGCGGAAGACTTTATTTGAGACTAAGGATACACATATCAAAAATCAGGTAGAAGGGTTATTTTAGAACAAGAAATCGGCCAGATATCAGAACTGTGAATCCCAAATCTTTGATGGCAAAGTTTGTTTTGAGTGGCCTGAAAAGGTATTGATATATGATGTGTCATGATGCAAGGTTATTACATTTAAAATGTTTTGCAGACAATGTATTACTGCTTACACTTAAATCTGAAATGGTGGAAATAGAAATATTCTGGACCCGGCAATGGACCAGTGCACTCTTTGCATTTTTTCGAGAGATGTTAGTACTCAAACTTGAAAATGTTTCCATATTGTTTTTTAACAGTGGCCTCACCCAACCAGTCGGACATTAGCAAAATTGTTAACAAAGTGATACTAATTTTTTTTTATTTTTTATGTTACATTTAATCAGTGAATGAATTTAAGAAAGACATGTTTTATTTACAGTTATTTACATGGTGCACAAGTTTTTGTTAGAATACTTGCACACAAGTGTTAAAACACTTGAAATGTCTGAAGCCTGACCACCACATCTGTCATAGGAGTTTTATTTCCAAATGTACCTTCCACTGATATCAGATAATAAGTTGAAAATTCTTATAATTCATCTTTCAGGCCCTGGACATACTGGTAAGACAACTGCATGAGAAGGACTGGGCCATTGTGAAGGCAGTTCTAATGCAGCTGAGGCATTCTCCAAACTGGAGGCACAGAGCAGAGGCTGCCAAACTCATTGCTTTCCTGGGTAAGACTTGCCCACTTGTTGGGTTTTTTTCTGTACATTTTGACTTTTACTTTTTGGTTTTATATGTCTAACATAATTATTTGAAAGATTTGTCAATTATGTGAATGAAGACCCACTTATATTGTTTATTGCAAGAAATAAGTGTACCCACTGATTATTTCCTGTGTGTGTGTGTGCATGCGTGTGTGTGTGTGTGTGTGTGTGTGTGTGTGTGTGCGCTTTCACACTTGTAGAAAATATAATCAGAATGCCTTTTTATCTGTTTATGGTGTGATTTGTGATACTTACAGGTCCAAAAAACGTCTGCAAAGAGTCAGAGGTAGAAAAAGTTTTTGCCCTGTTGGAATCCAGACTTTGGGATGACCCAGTCAAGGTGAGAGAAGAATTTGTGCTGAAATTGAATGTTCTTTACAGAAGATGCATTTAGTATATCCTGGTGATTATCTGTAATGGTTAACTTTCTAATTAATAAATAAAAACTGAAAATTAAATAAAATTATCTGATAACACACAGCTATCTTTACAAGATAAAATGCAACAAACTTACAGAGAGCATACTTAAAGAACACAACATTTTTATAAGATATAGCAAGCACTTTTGTTACATATTTTATATCCATATTCACACAATATTTGAAAACATCATGGTAAATAATGTTCCAGAGTGTGCGACTTGAGATCACGAAGGCCCTGCAGGCTCTAGGCATGTACCAGAGGGTATGTGACAGGGCCATGAAGTAAGTGTAGTCACTTGATGTAGTCACTTGATGTAGTCACTTGATGACTCCAGCATTGTAATGTAATGATTGGTTGCTGCTGTCCTCTAATATAGAGATACAATTGCCATATAATAAAACTACTATTGAAATATTCATTAAAGAACACTTCTTGGAAATGTATTTCACTGCCACTTCTCTTAACTAATAGTAGCTTTCAAGCTTTGACATTCAACCTTACAGTTGTATGTACAGTCACAAGGGTGACTCTAAGTCTTAATGAAATATAGGGTAGCTGGTCTTACACTGCAGTTAAAATGGAGGCTTTCATGTGTTTTGATGCGTTTTGTTTATTTTTCAGGCATCTTGATAGTACTGATGAAGACATAAGGTCACAAGCAGTGATTTCTCTGGTGAGAAATTTTTAAATTGTGATGTGCATTCATTCATTAATATATTTTCCTGGATATGTTAGTTTTCATCAGATAGAGATACACAGAAGTAGAAGTTATTAACTTATTTATTACTTTGTGTATTTATTTATTTTATTGCTATGTTTCTAGTAAGCAAAGGTTTAGTTTATTTGCATGTTTGTTTGTTTGTTTATTGATTGTCATAAGTTGCTTTTTTCAGGGAGTTCTTGGAAAGAAGGATGAAAAGACAGTCAGAATACTCCTGGAAATGCTGGAGCTGGATTCCAGTGAATATGTCCGTCTCATGGTGAGTCTTGATAAATAGGCATATACACATCCTCTGTCAATTATTTATGCATACACATGTGTAATTATACGCAGACAAATGCTCACACATATGTACACTAGCACGTTTGCCCACCATATTCTTCTTGCATGCGCGCGTGCACGTGCACGCACACACACACACACACACACACCAAAATATCTGTGACTGTATCATGTTTTGATTGGTTTAATTTTTCTTAAATTTCAACTTGATTATGGGTACAATGGTCAAATAAAATAAGAACTTTTTGTGTTGTTTCTTTTCAGATTATTCGAACATTTGCAACAATGGGTATCACTGACAAGAAGATAATACGAACTCTGAGGGAACGAGAGAAGACAGAGGGCGTCCTTGGCAGGTGAGTTTTAAAAACCAAACAGTGATTTTATGACCTTTTTTAAACAAAAGTGTAATTTTCCTGGAAAAAAATACCATACCATATTGTAAACTGTTAACAGATTTGCTATCCATAAACCTGTTTTGGAGTTTTCATTGTCTGAGTTTTGAGTACTTCTTATAATAGAAACACTAGTACGTAGATGAATTTTCCAGGTATGTTTTTCTTTATAAAGGTCAAGCACTCTGGTATGCCTTTAAGAGTGTTGAACTAACATTTTATTTGAAAACTGACAGGCTGACCTGTACATAAACAGGCTTATAGGCTGACATATAATGTATGGTAGTTCATGTATATAGTATTTCTTTCTCAGTTCTAAGGTAGAATTTAATTATTAATGCTTTTTAAAGCATCAAAATTATAATCATCTGCAGAAAGAAACTTTCTAACATTTGGATAATTTTCTCTAGTGCCAGAAAGGAACTTGAGGTGAAATGGTGTAGTTGTTCAATGTGTAACATACTCAATGTGTAACACACTATTGTTTTAACTGTGTATCTCAACTAACAGCTGGTGTTATGTTTAATTTTGATATATCTACATATTGTTAAGTGGGCTTTTATCGATATTTTGATTTTTTTTTGTATATAATACATAAATCTTCGGTAATTTTTTATGCTTTGAAAATACTTGTTTATATTACCTGATGTAATGATTACATGTACCATATGTAAGGGGAAAAATCTATGTAGTTGCTGTTACCTGTAGTACCTGTAGTACATAATGTAAGAGGGTAAGAGTGATTATGCTATTTTAAAGGGTTATGCAACAGTGCATAAAAATTGCCCAAAACATTATTTTGTGCACTTTTTTGTGCATAATGTCTGAACATTTGATGGCTTTGCTGCCTTTTTTCCTGTATGGTGTCTGTATATTTGTCAGTTTTGCTGTCTAGTTAGTAAGCATACTCTTTCCTTTTCTAAATACACAATTTGAAATGATTAACCTTACAGAGTTCTTTTCATTTCGTGTTAGCATGTACAAATCCCAAATATATATTCTTTTTCAATTTTCAGAGAATCTACCAAAGCGCTGAAACTGCTAGGAGCAAATCCCACCGTCTCAGCAACAAAGGTGATTTGAGGGCAAGATGTCAGAGTAAGATGGATCAACCTCTCTGGTTACTTTGAAGGCTGATCTTCAGCTCAAAGTTGTAGTTGCATATGACTGACTGGGAGCTTTTGTTAGGGATGCATGTTCTTGATCTCATCTACTAGTAGACAGCACTTCAAAAGAGCAGACCTAAGAAAACCAGAATAAAAATTTCTTTAGAAATTAGTAGCAGTCCCTGATTCAGTAGAAATGTCTTTTCCTCTTGTTTAGATGTCTGTTCTGAAAATGTTATTGGTTATGTAGAACTTCCTGAGATATATATATCCACAAGCAAACAGATACATTGTCAAAACAACAACATTGAAAAAAGAACTTCCATCATTGGTGGAAATAGTGATCATGTCAACTTACAACCAGTGCAACCCATCAAATTGTAAACTCTGTGTGAACTATATTGTTATGTTTTCTGAAGGAATGTTGGCTGGAACAACTGGTATCCTATAAAAATATTTTGTCTTAGTAGATGCAGTACACATAGTGGTCCACATCATGAGACATTGAAAGTACTTTACTGTAAGTCAAATCATATTGTAGGAAACAAGGGCTGTGAGGATGAGGGATTGATACTTTTTTATAACTTTTTTTTAATCACTTAAAAAACAATGTTCATGTGGTGAGTTGTATTAATCAGGTTCTATTAACTTGAAGATAAAGATCATGTAAAAAGTACATTTTCTTAATGAAGAAATGTTATGTAATTTTGATGCATGGCTACATTTGCTGTAAATAAGGTTTTCTCATGTACCTGAGATTTTGTAATGCCATAAAATGTGATAGACTGTGAGAATAAAGATGTTGGTGGGATTTATTTGGTTTAATTATTAAGCTTTATTCAGTGAGCATAAAAACATAGTAAATGCAGTAGTGTATATCTTTATCTTCCTCATTGTTATTTAACCCCACGAGTTTTTTAACCCCTCAAACGCAAATACATATTGTAACTGTTGAACAATTGTTTGTTTAAAAATAGAAAAGAAAGGAAAAAAACAATGAGATATAATTATATATATAGACTTGACATTTAATATGGAATATTTTTTCCAAATCATAATTCATTAATTTTTTTCCCTATTTTGCTGACTAATAAATAAAAATAAGGATTAAAATTGCGTTTTAATAACTTTAAAATTTCTTTTATGTCATTGTGACATCAGTTCATTAATTGAATTCGCCAGTGAAGCAATCAAAAATGCATTATGTATTCTAAGTCATACAAAAACAATTGAAAGCGATATTTTGGAACTCCACATTTTCCAAATTATTGTCTTTAAAAGAGTTACACGCCCCACAAAAGCCCTTCATGCCCCCTATCAATTGAAAGTCAAGTGGTTCCCAGATTATTCCTTTATTGAATCTGGTTCAGGTTTTCGTCAGGGACTACCATTGGTGTTTTGGCACCAATGTGGTATCCACTTCAAATACTGACGCGGTCAATGACCCTAGCGGCACATGCTTCGTCGTAAGCCTCTTCAGGATGTCTGTAAACTCTGTTTTGACCAGTTGAGCAGTACCGGTACAAGTAAAATCTGACCTCAATAAAGAAAGCCACGTTGCTTCAGTGTTCTACCCAGAAAGGATCATGGTCCCCAATCCATTAGAGAAACAAACGACGCTGTTTTGCTGTTTACAGTGGCTTCCTCAGAGGTCGTCTGGTATCCTAACCTGCTGAAACTAGTATAGCATGTATAGCATCGTGCATAACACACTGATTCCTAGTTGTAAAAATGATACCATTGCTTAAGTGGAAAATACTGATGCTAATGGTTTTACGTACACACCAACGGCATCAAGCCCAAAAAGTATTCAAATTTTCCATGATTGATACTTTCAGAGTGTTTAATATAGAATCGCTTTGTGGGCATAAAACAGTTGACGGAGAGACAAGAAAGAGTAGACACCGACACATACTCTGCATCTGTCATTTTATTGAGATACTCACGCATCTATGTGGAACAAGAGGGGGATACATGTACTTCCTAAATTTGGGAGGGGGACGGGCGCAGTAACACTCACTGGATTGACCACTGATCTGAGCCTTCACACCCTGCATATATATATATATATATATATATATATATATATATATATATATATATATATATATATAAGGACCAAATCTTGTCCTTTGCATAAAAAGCCCAGACCCCCTGTTAATAACGCCCTGGCTGGGCCCATTCTTTAAGGTGTCTTTGCATTGTTTACAGCATAATGGGCAAGTTAATTGACCAAGTTAATTGGCCAAACTGCCAGTTTGTTTGTATGGCATGTGCAGGGGATGTCATAGATATATATGAAGGCCCTCACTTAAATAAGCTAATTTCGTAATGTAAGTTATACTTATTATACCAGAGATGAGGTAGGGGAGTATTTTCACTTTTGCTGATAAAACATGAATGAAACTTTAAAAAAACATTGTATTGTATCCCTTTAAATAGCCACTCCTTGCTATAATAATAGTTATCTGAAAATGGAATTATATCCTCACACATTACGCAATCAAAGTTACTTCGAAACAGGACAAACTAAGCATAGTAAATTTATAATAAATGATTTTATAATTTCATCATCTATTTTTTTTGTTACTTTTCGGTTATGACACAATTACTGAATTGTTATTAATGTACTTTATACCCATTTTAGAATTAATTTTAGCATTACAAGCTTCACCTCAATGTTCAACTTATGAATAATATTACTACTTTTTCCTGTGGTTATTACGGGTGTTTTTTCATATATGTTGGTGTTTCTGTAATTCCAGATAATTACTTGTAATCAAGAAGTATTGTTCACGATTCAAAGTTAATTTGCTGGACAGACACATTCAGTAGACAATGCATGATTTAAACTACTCACACGTCCTACTAAGCGTAAAGTGACGAAGTGCTGTGACGAAATATTTAATTAATGCATGTAGCAATCAAAGTGATTAGTGCTGAAGTATAAGATAAACTTCTACCAAAACGCTAAACCGTCATACCCACACTAAGATCAACAACTGTGCTTTAATGTCTCTCCTTATTTTGAAAATCGTTATTTCAGCAACCATGTACACTTAAATAATCAAGTTCTGATGAAACTGACCATCTTTTTTTCCTCAAAAGTGCTAACCGTCACACTGACACAAAGATCAGCAACTGTGCTTAAATGTCTCTCCTTATTTGAAAATCGTTATTTCTGGGGCCATATACACTTAAACATTCAAGTTCTATAAAACTGACCATCTTCTTTTTCAAAATCGCTTATGACATTTAAAAAAGTGCTGAGTCCATCTAACACTCCTATTGTTGTCACTGTTGATATACCACTAGTAACCATAGTAACCAGTAATATTTGTGCAAAACATACGCGTAACAGAATATAATTTAATATGCATTTTGTGCTAAAATATAAATTTAGTAATATCTCAGATGTTTCAAAGCCTTTAAGCAGTTGCATACAAGCAGGTATGAAGCTATTACACTTAATTCAGTTACATTCCAGGTGTTATCCATTGGATGCGGTCCAAAAATTATATATTCTGCGGCAAGCTATCAACAGGAAATCCATGAATAAAATTATTAGAATTTTCCCTAATAGATCATACGGTATATCTTTAGACTCGTCATTAACCAGCACGCCTAACATAGTAAGTCTTATAAATCTCCCTTTATGAACAAAAACAAAAAATGAAAAAAAAGTTCTGTAATAACGCACAGATATTTACAAAATAACTCAGCTGTATAAACAATGATTTCTTCAAATTCGTCTTCTAATTAAAATTATTGAATTTCAATAATTTGAACATTGCCTTTCTGATGTTTGTATTCAGCAAACCGTAGATTAAAGGGTTGACTGCTGAGCTAAGCAAAACTAATTCCGAACTAATATTTAAAAGAGTAACAAAAAGATTCCTGTCGTTTAAAGACTGCTCCAGGTATGGCCCTATTATTCCACTAGGAAGAATCAGCACAATTAGTGTGCATACTGTAAGGGCTGTCATTTTAGCAAGTTTTGCCTCCTTTTTGTTCGAAGTTGAGACAATCGTTGGAATTTTGGATACAGGTCTTTTCTTTGCTGGATCTTCATTGATGATTTCGCTACCTAGGTGCTCGATTTGATCAACAGATTGTTCATGTACAATTTGTGTGTCTTTGAATTCACTATGCACTTTAGTTGCGCATGCCGCGTTGCCTGTTGACGTGGAAGGTATCGGTTCTGTTGGGTTTTCAGCTAGCGGTTGCTTTAATCTTTGTCCAATATTACCATCTCGAGTAGTTGAGATGGAAACGTCATTTGCTTGCCCTCCGTCCGGTATCGTGTTTGTAGGCGACATTTGACCGTCAGCTCCCATGTGTCGCATGTCGCACGGAGCACACGATGTTGACGCTAAAGATTCTGCACTCTGACTTACCCTCCGTGGACGTGCATATACATGTAGAGCCCGGGGGATCCTCAGGGCATTTTTATGCAAAGTATTAACTTCAGCTCGGTTATTAGTGGCCAATCTGGCATTTATTCTTCTTTTATTATTTTGGACATGACGGAAAATCGCAATGTACAGTCCAAAGATTACCAAAAGACAAATTGGTACGTGTGGTAGTATCACGTATTTCGCGAATTCCGTTTGAATATCCTGTGGTCTGCACTCTTTGTCTGGGGACCAATTGTGCCAGCCAAACAATGGGGGGAGATGTATGGCAATACCGTAGAACCAAGTCAGTATTATGGCTGCTTTGTGTCTCTCCCGGCTAAATATTTGTTGGTACCGAGTGTTTCGACAAATTTTTATGTATCTCTCAAATGCAATGAGTAACTGATGAAAGAAAGATACTGGGAGGAAACACCCGCCCATGAAAAGCTTTATAAGACAAAATAGTTTTTCATGCCTAAGATGCTGCAGATTCGACACCATATTAATGAGATACGTCGAAATGATATTGAAGGGTGCGAACAGGAGTCCGGTGAGCAGATCAACAATCGCAAGGCTGAATATTGCATAATTAACCTGCACTTGTAATTCTTTGAACTTGAGAAAAGTGGCGATAAAAAGACTGTTACCGAAAATGGTTGCACCAGATAATATGATTTCCACAACAATGAGAACAACGCAAGTGCCATGTTGGATTTCGCAATAACGCTTCTCCAGGTTAGTTCCAT